GTAGTAGTAGTAGTAGTAGTAGTAGTAGTAGTAGTAGTAGTAGTAGTGGTAGTAGTAATGGTAGTGGTAGTGGTAGTAGCAGTAGTAGCAGTCGTAGTAGTAGTAGTAGTCGTCGTCGTCGTCGTCATGGTGGTGGTGGTGGTGGTGGTGGTGGTGGTGGTGGTGGTGGTCCGGTCAGCTAAGCCTCTGTAAAACTTCTACTTAGAACCTCTACCACATCCTAGAGACAAAAACTGCAACCTCGTTGTTTTTTTGAACCCCCCCCCTCAGAAGATGTTGTTGTCTCTACCCCCCCTAGAAACAAAATCTGCAGCCCCGTTCTTGTTTTTTGACCCCCCCCCTCCAGAACAACATCCCAAAAAACATCAAAAAACAAGAAACAGACCAACCAAGACTTGAGTATCACAACGACAAGAAGTCCAAACCTTCGACCCTATCCCTAACAGTGTCCCTTTGAAATCCCTGACTTGCAACATGTGACAACTATGTTGGGCAGCTGTTTTTGTCTCTACCAACAACAACAACAACAACAACAACAACAACAACAACAACCACAACCACAACCACAACCACAACGTACCACAACCACAACGTACCACAACCAAGCCAACGATTGTTTCAATTTGGCCACTGCAAACATCTCCGTCCGCCTTCCTCCTCCCCATGTCTTCAGCTGCCGCCTTCCTCCGCTTGCGAGACGCCCAACCCTTCCGAGGCTCCAGGATCGTCACGCTGCAGCCGCGCTCCAACAGCTCGCAGGCCGCGGACAGCCCGGCCTCGGAGCGGGACGCGGGAGGAACGCGGACAGGCCGGTGCTTTGGAAAAGGAAAGCGAGTCTGTGGATGTTGAGATGAAAGAGATGCACAGCTGATGGATCTTCTTTTCCTTTTCGGGGGAGAGGAGAGGCACGACTTTGTACCAGGATTCAAGTCGGGGTACCCCTCAGTCGGAGACAAACTCTTTTGCCCCAGTCTCAAAAGTAGGGATCCCGCCCAAACAACAAGTGTCAGCATGTGTTTCTTACAACATCGGTGTATTTCACCTCACTTCACCGGACATCTGGTTTTCGTACGGAGAAGAACGATTCCAAAAAGATATGTCTTCTCCATCCGGTCCCTCTGCCGACTTGGGCGAGTGGCAAGGCCTCCGCCAACGATCACCACCTTCGACATGATGCCTCCAGCCGTCGGTCGGTTCGGTCGGTCCCATGGACGGCGTAGTGACGCCCCCATGTGACGCGTGTGGTATACACGCGGCATGAGGTGGGAAGAAGAGAAGTCCCCCATGTGTGGCTGGATTCTCCTTTGATCTTAACATTCATCGATTCGACTGGGGCATCCATGATGTATGTTTTTGGTATATCAGTCGAATTCGGTGAGAAACCATTGAGACATATTGAGCACATGCGCAATAAATCGTGCACAGTTGGGGTGTTTTCAGCACATCAGGACACATCTGGAGAACGGGGAACCCTCTGAGCAGACCGGAAAATGCACGAAAAAAAAAAACTGCTTTTTGGGGTCGGAGATTCTTTCTGGTTCACATCGCTTGGCCCTTCTGTCCTTGGGCCATGGGCACGGCGAACGATCTGGTACCACCGAAAGAACCACAGCCACCATTCCAAGCCGACCTTGACCCCCCCGAATTCCGCGCCACTCGAGCCGACCGGCCTTCCGCGTCACTCTGGGCAGCTGAAGCTTAAGCTGTGCCAAAAAGAGCCCAAACGGCAGCATCGGGTCGGACCTTCTCATGCTCCGCCGCTCCTCTCTGCGCTCGTCGAGCGCTTTGCGACCGCTACTCGGACCTGATGAGGATCCCGGAAAGCCGAAGGTTGGTGGATCTGTGTGGACATGCGGAGATTGGAACCCGAACCCCTCTTCCTTTTTTGGAAACCACGGACCAGTGACGGCCAACTCCAAGTAAGGACACTTGCTGGCATGAACGAACAAAACAAGAACCTGAGCGGGACTCCTGTGGTGCCACCGAGAGTTTCTGGTTTTAAAAGGAGGTCATTCTCTTCTGACCAATTGGAACCTCAACACATGCGAAGTCAGAGCTCAGCGAGCATGCTACTGATAGCTATTTCGCTGGCGAGGCAAATGCTGCGGCAGAAACAAATCCTTGACACCAAGGATGCTGCAAAAAGCGTCCGCTCACCAAGCTGCTCATTTGCACCTTACACAAGAACAGTGAACAGGCCCAAAAAATCGTGAGTCCGACTCTTGCATATATGGGTGTGTGTATGTGTTTTAGGGACAGACCGGTCAAACTGCGGGTCTCTATATAGTGATCACATCAACAACTGGATCCATGATTTACTCCTCTCGATCAAGAGTTCTGCTTCAATACACCAGAAGATGGCTTTTGAGGAGAGAATGTTGTAGAACTGATTTTGTATAACTTAATGTTGATTGACAAATACCTCCATGGAATTCGAGGATGCTCCAGAACATCCATTTCGTGACATACTGTTTTTGTTGATCAACGTACTACCTTAGCCCTTGTCGTGGATCTCTCTCTCTCTCTCTTCGGGAGCTGCTGGTCATCACCAGCTGGTGAACAAAGCTACGGCAGCTGCGCATGCAGGGCGCGAACCATCACGGAGCCACCCGAAGAGTGGATGAAACGTGTGAGCAGTCTGTATATAGATCCCAAAATAGATAGACAGACATGTAAAATCCCTTTCAAAATGTATTGGAAAGCGTTTCTGATCTATTTTGGGGACCACTACTGACCATCTGACCACTACATAACATATATATATATATATGACATGACATTCTCATGTCTGGAATATCTACGATTCCAATTCTCCTGTGGTGGTTTTAATGCTCTCAATCAACCCCATGTCCACATTGCATGTATGGTTTTGGCTTACCACAACTGATTGCGCAGTTAGTTTTCAAAAATGTTCAAGTGAAAGCTGTAGGACATTGCACCAACACCAGGTTCATGGTCCGTGGTCCATAGGCAAATAACGACCTGTTTTTACAAAGGGCATCATGTACCCATCTTTAAAGACATGGACATCCCCTCGTATGGTGTCAGGCATTCGACATTTGGCATTCCCAACAAAAAATGAACGATTTAAAATATATACCGGTGAATTAAATGTTCCTGTACCCGGCCTAACGGCGTAACTGTATCGAACGCAAGTCTTGCTTGCTGGTCGGATGGATCCGAGGGCTATCACGCGACGCCATAGCCGTCCGAATTATGGTGACCAAGAAGTCGAGATGCAGTGCACACTGCACAAAATCGGAAACAGTGGAACCGTACCTCCCAGGATGGGTGACCCCCACAACCCAACCACCTACCGGTCTTGGATTGAAAGATGGTGGTTGATTCCCAACACCCACGGAGGATGGCGAGGTTCCACGTTCGACATAATTGACTTCGAAAGTGTGGCATCCCAACGACGGAGCCGGCGGGGGGGCCTAAGGTAAATCCACTTCCTCACGAAGGCGAGAGAACTCATCGACCGCCAGATGCCTGGTGAAATGCGGGCGTTTGGGTCGCGGGGAGCGTTGGGAGTCGCTGTGTGGAATAGGACACCACCACCTTACAAGATTATACCAGCATAGACCCCAAACTGCTTCGTCGGCAAGACTTGTTGCTGTTGTGATGGGCGGACAAGCTGCGACCGGACAACGCCAAAAGGACAACAGACCAAGAGGAGAGCAAGAGGAGAAGGAGAAGAGAGGACAAGAGAAAGACAAGACGTTATCGTTTTACAGCACCTTGACATAACTGCAACAATTGTAGTATGATGTAGTGCATGTGGTGTGTGGAACCTTGCAGACATGAAGACAGTAGGCACAGTTCATTCCAACTGCACCCATGTGGTGGCCTGCCTACGGAAAGGTGTTTTAGGCTCGCTGTGTTATCCTTTTCGTTATCGTTTTCTTATCGCAAGTTGGAAAACCATGTGGCACGACAATGCTGTAGCACAAGGCTACAGCGGTCCAAGCCCTCCCACCTCTGTTCAAGCATATACCCACCCAGAGCAGTCATGCATTGACCCTGACAATTTGGAACAGTAGGTTTTGTGTTTGTGTGTGTGCACGCGTTCTCTTCACACCACTTCTCGCATGTCAAGGGTTTTCCTCAAGAGTCATCGGGGGTTATCGTTTTTTCATGTTCTTCCTTATCGTTTTACAGGGGATTGAGTCGAGCATGCTTCCAGAACAACGGACATGCGACCACGAATTTCTTACATTGTGCCGTTCCATGTTTTTCCTCTTAGAGGACAACGGGAGTACAAGAAGAGGACCAGAAAAAATCAAGAACATGACAAACGGAGGACAAGACAAGGACAAGAAGAGGGCAACAGGAGGACAAGAAGAGGACTCGGAGAGGAAAAGGAGAGGACAAAAGAATACAACAAGGGCTGTTTGGGGAACTAAGACCCCCACACCGCGGTGTCAAGTCAGTGCATCATTTGACTATTCCAGTGAACGAACAATATAATACACCACTACCACACGCGCAGGATTTGAAATTCCGCCCTTCCGTCGGTTAAAACCATGTCTGGTTTCCGCCTCAAAAGCAAAAACCATCATTGGCGGGGCACACCAATACAATGATGGCATGAATGGCTTGAACATGCTTGAATCCTGTCAAGTGAGGGATTACCTAACAGCAACCTTCACAAAGGGCGAGGGATCAATAAAAAAACAAAAATAAATCAAAAAATAAATATATTTCAGGGGATCAAGAAAAAAACAAAAATGAATCAAAAAAAAACATTAAAAAACGTAAACGGACCCAAACGTGCAGAGGGAAGAGCAATATTCCATTAACGGGCGGGGGATCAACAAAAAAAA